CAGCTCTATGGAAGACAACAGACACATTATATTCGTTAATGGAGAGCTGGTTGGGGGCATTCTCACCATAATCCAAAACATGTTAATGGTGCACCTTCTATTCTTTTCCACAATTTAAACCTTTTTTGTCCTAGAGTGATTATTCTGAGAATGTGTTATTTTTGGTTACAGAAATCCATGACTAAAGAATCAGTTGCTATTGTGGGGGAATGCTTACAAGTTCTAATGCTCCTACAACCAGTTTCAAAAGGGAGCGACTGCCAGAGAGGGTTTATGAATCTCTTCTTGGAAGCTATTGTTATGGTCTTCTCGGCATCGGTAGATGGTCGTTCTCAGGTAAGTTGTTCAAGATGCTTCAACATTTGAAATTAGAACAAGTATTTCCATTGTTGTTTTAAACAATCTTTTGCTTATGATTATGTTGGCAGGAAGTCAATGACATAAGAAACGCTGCCATCAGGCTTGTTTCTCATCTTGCTCAGATTCCTTCTTCTGCTGGACATCTCAAGGATGTCTTGTTATCGATGCCTGAGATGCACAGACAGCAACTTCAGGTGTTTTTCTCTCTATTTTCTTCTACATAAATGACAAGTGTGTCTACTGCAATTGAAAGAAACGGAAAATGGAAAAGCAGCTTTGACATTTAGCTGAAATTTCAAGTTCGCTGAACTTGTTTTCTGCTGCTGCATTGTTCAGAAATAATAACAACCATTATTGTTTCAGGGGGTTATTCGTGCTTCAGTAACACTGGGCCACAGTGTTGCAGAAACGAAATCTGTGACACAGCCTTTAGGGATTAAACTACCAGTGCCATTGGAAGGGAGAAGAGAGGACAATGCCCTATCATCAGCCACTCGAGATTTATCTGCATCAGCCACCAATATAGACACGACTAATAATGACATCGAAGAAGATGAAGAGGATGAAGATGAAGAGGATGAAGATGATTGGGATTGGGATGCCTTCCAATCTTTTCCCGCATCAAACCATGCTGCTGAAACTGATTCCACAGTTAAGAATACTGTTAAAGAATCAGATGATGAAGCCATCTCTTCTGCTTTGGAAACCGTTACTGATGACATCCAGCAATATTCGACTTCAGAAAATGTCAAATCTTCAGAAGATCACAATAAAATAGATATTTCTGAAACGGAGCATTCAGAGGTTGAAACAGAATCACTCAATTCTATAACAACGCCTGGTACAGACCCTCATGAAAATCGAGAAGGGGAACTACAATCTAGATTGGAAAACATAGGTGGTCTAATTAACGACAGGGAGAAGACATCTTCCGATCTTCAAGTTGAAGAGGTTAAAGAATTATCTGCAGAGATAGAGGAGCATGAGGGAAGATGGGGCAACCAGGTGGCATCAATTGAACCTGGACATAATGAAGACGCTGAAGGATCAGTGGATGTGGTTGAGGATGATGAGCAGCTAAAGGAGAGACCCGATAAGAAAGACGATGCTCATTTAGTATCAGATTCCCCGCCTCATGAAGAGTTTTCCGGTGATGAAACCAAAGAAGAAGCTGAACATAAAATGGATCCGTAACAACTTATGAAAGCTGGTGAAGATGTTGAAGAAATGACTGCAAGGACTTGAAATCGCCAAACAGCAAAGGCGAGGGTCGAAGGGGGAGGCGTCGATGATAGAAGATGAGTTAATTTATTTATTTTACCTTCCGTGATGTTTGTGACAAATATGAGTATTTTGTTTTGTATGTTGAGGCCGACAACATATAGCAGAGACAGAGTTACTAATAGCCATACATATAAAGGTTTGAAATCACACAGAAAGCCTTTGTAACTGCAGGATCTGACATTTTAGAGTTCTTGTTTATCAGGGAACCATGAATCGTATTTTTTTTAATTTTTTTAATTTTGGATTGATGCTTAATTATGAAACCGATTGACTGTCGGGTTGTTAATCTTAATGCAATGAGGAAAAGAAAAAACTTTTAGAAGTTTATATTATATTTTTGAGTAATTTATATTTTAGATTATTGAACTTTAACTTCAACTTTCATTTAAATTATAGTTTTTTTATTTAATCAAATTAGACCAAGTCGCTGTCTATTAACATAGTTAAATCATTCAAACAAAAAAAATTGACACTTTTACCCCCCGAACTGTTGACCCATATTTTGGGGCGTGAAATAGATTTGTATTTGAAAACATAACAAAAATGGGGGGGGGGAGGGGGGAGGATTTAGTGATTTTTGGATTGCACATGTTATAGAATGTGTGACAACCATTCTCTCTATCATTGTTGATGGAGAGCAAAGAGGTAATATCCAAATGAAGCACAAACTCCGTCAGATTGATCCTCTTATCACCATACCTCTTCGCCAACGGTAGAGGCGATGCCAGGTTTTTAGAGCCAAGGACACCGATACTTTAATAAAAAAGATTTATTTATTTATTTATTTTTTAAATATTTTGGGTGATTAGAAGAAAATATTTGTTCGTAATATTTTTTAGTACACACATCTCTTATTTACTGACGACTGTTCTTTCCTGTTCGACAAATATTTGAGCACCAATTCTACACTTGATTGTCTTGGTTCAAATAGAAGCCTGGGGTCATACTCTTAACCTCAACAAAACGAATATTTTCTTCTCTCTTAATTTGAATCGACAGAAGGACTTGTTTGCCTCTCTTGGTAATTCACATAGACCATTCTTCATAGTACCTTACCCACCCCCATCCATATGAGGTAGAGGAAAGAAACATGTTCTATCCATGACTAAATCTCCTTTGGAAAGGAACTTCCCATCTCAAGCCGGGAGTAAAATTCTCATTAAAGCTGTGGTATCGGCAATGTCGCTTTACGTTATGCAATACTTTTGTAGTAGTAGTTTATCTTTGCATTCAAAGACGCTACATCACAAGGTGCAATTTGTTGAATGATATCTACCCCATGAAACTATCTTAAATCACAAAACATTAACCAAATCGCAGCATAAAAGACGTATATCTAAGCCATTAATCCAGCATTGATATCAATGAATAGCCTTCCGTACTACTTGCGCTGGCTCGAACTCTAACCTATTAAGATGTCCTTACATATGAAGTCCCTGATAAATGCTTCACACCTAGCTGCAACAAAAATTGTTCAGACAGTTCATTGAACTAGTTGATATTTACAAACCTTACAACACCAACAAATGCAATCTTACAATCGGGTGTGCCAAAGACTAACGCATAATTTTATATTGGAGGACAAACTTCTAAAATTTAAAGAAATACGAACTTGTCAATTTTAGAGGGACGAAAATAGATTATAATAGTGAAATTTAGTATAATAGGTTAAAGAAAAATAGAAAAAAAATTGCACCCCTATTATTTTATTATTTTTAATAAAAGAAAATTAAAATTTTAGACTCCATCTATAAATTTTTAGATCCTCCAATTATGCGAACCCCAGCCATACCCAACATTGAAACACGGCCATCCCTCCTCATAATTACATATCATTGGCAAGTCATCCAAGAACAACATCTCCTCATCGTCTCCAACAGCTACCACCTCGTTGACTGGCTGCTGCTCCTGCTCTGCTCCGTAGGCTTTTTATCATCATTCATCTCCTCTACCGAGCCTGAGTGATCTCGACCTTGTACAACGTTCCTTCGCCTTCCAGCTCCATCGTCTGCGTCGCCATCGACCTTGTCACCATCGACTGGTTATCGGGAAAGATTGAAAGAGTTTTCATAGTCCTAACTCCGTTTCTTCTTCCCTTTGCAATCATTCTCGCACTCTTTGATGAGTTCCCTTTGCTTCTCTCCCTTCCTTTCCCTTCATACACAGGGTTAACCTTAGCTTTCTTCATTGAGCAAGAGAGACTGAGAGAGAGAGAGGGGGGGGGGAATGAAAGGCTTTTCTCAGCAAAAGAAGAAGGTACCAAAAAGAGAGAGAAAGACAGAGACAGAGAGAGAGTGTTTTGTGAGAAAGACAGTGCAAATGTGGGCTGGATTATATAGGACCTTGTAAGGGGCAGTAAAACGTAGCATGTTTGTCAAGTGAGAAAAAAAATCTAGGTTTTTCCATTTCCTCGATGAAAACGAGCCTACTCTCACAGTCATAATGAACTTACCATGTCAAGAAATCTGCCTAACAGTTGATGCTCCATGAGATAATCAACTGTGAAAAGGATGAGCGTTTCAAAAACTTAAACTTTACGTGGCCGTGCAAGAAGGCCACGTGGAAATAAGAGCCCATGCAAGCTGTGGGACCCATCAACTGACAATTTTTTGAGTTTGTGAGGCATCAGATGGAAATAACTTTCATCCTTGTTTTGACAAAATTACAATTCATGCTTTTGTGTATGTCTTCAATGATACCCTTCATGTTTTGAAAAGCGTAACCGCTTGCATGAGGATTGAGGAGGTTGTTTTTGTTTGGGAGTCAAAATTAATGCTTTCTTTTTTCTTCTTTGCTTCAACGGTGCCTTACTCTTTCACGCCAATTCAAATAATTAGACCCCAAAAGAATTACTCACACAATTGCTTACAATATATATATATATTGTTTTAAATGGAATTTTTTAAAAATTTACATTAGAGGGCCAATACAAACTGATAAATACAAATTTATGACAAGTTACCATATTTAACATTTTGAAAATACCTTCAGGCTTTTCATTAATCTCACCTTTGAATTTCCAATATAAGATGATTAAAATGGATTTTCACAAAATTAAGTCCATGACTCTATAAATGGTGTGTAAGACGTGTTCAGGGTTTTAAATCGCGGTCGCGGTTATTTCGGATTTATCATGATTGCGGCTGTCGCGGACGCTGTTGCGACCGTCGCAGGTAACTCGGACAGCGGCGAAACCACTATATCGCGGCCAAAATCGCGGTCGCGGACCATTTTTTAAAATCCTAGACGTGTTTATCTACACAGGTTTGATTGTATTTTTTAAAGTGTGTGAATAAAATCCAAGCTTATGCAAATAAAATCTGCATATTATTAAAGAGCATGATTTCTTACCAAAGTCTTTGCTTACCTGATAAGACCAGTCGCCTAAGCTGTAATGGTTTGATAAAACTCGAATACCGGAGGAGGATGTTACCTAATTGAACAGAGAGCATTGATATTGTTATTGTCAGGAAAAATGAACATCCTTCAAGTTTTAAAACAACATGCCAATTGACCTAAAATATCCGAAGAAAAAATACGTGCCCGTACAGATAGACATGCATGCATGCACACATACGTAAATAGCATTTTCATTAAATAGAAAGAAAATTGATACAAGTATAGTGAAACAATACACAGAAACTGCGATCGCTTAAAGTCAGAACCAAAGGCCGGCATGCCGTAAATTAGGGGTAAATATTCATATTAAACTAAAGACTTTAATACAAAGTTTTCAGGGTCAACAACATTTGATAAAATGTAAAAAAAAAATGCTGCCAATAAATCGATACCATATCAGGCTTAGCTACTGGTAGACCAGAAAACTGGAAAAGAGTCTGTATGCCTTTTCCGGTACTCAACTTCGCTGCTAGATCATGAACAAACATGATTTCACTGTCCTCCCTACTTTCTTCCTGTCAATAACTGAAAGGGGAACATGAAAATGATAGTTTGAGACAAATTTAGCAAATAAACTCAAAAGAGAAAAGCATTGAATCCTATATGCCTTACCATAGAAGTTTCCCCACAAAATTGTCCCATAAGTTTCTTGGTTAAACCAAATCAAGATGCAAATCATTTCATGTTCTGAACCTCGATGGTTGCCGCGGGTTGCTTTGGTACTTTTTATTCATAAAATTAAAAGAAACAATCATGCATAATAACATTAACGAGTACTTCAAGGAATTCGGAATATGTTGAATTCATATTCCACATTGGTGGTAAGAGTAACAGTAAGAAATTAGAATAACAACTGAAGTTGTTCACGCATGGAAATCTACGAAGCATTCAGAACAGATATTAGTATCAAGAACAGATATTGATACCTCTGCAAAAGATAAGGCTACTCGTACAATTTCCATTTGCGAATTCATTTATCCTTAAAAGAATTTGCCGAGAGTATTTAAATAAATTGTAGAACATGAAATTAGGGTATAGCATACCCTTGGTATTTTATGCTTAACTTTCTGAAACTGCAGGACACCGGTGAATTATGAAGAATTAGAAGGAATTCTTTTCTATTTTCTGCCTTCTCGGTATTCGTCTAGGTGTTTAGGTAATTAGATGCTTCTAGTTCCTGGTTCACCTTTTCTTATGGAAAGTTTATAATCTCTCTAAAATGAATCATTTAAGAAAAATTATAAAGAAAAGAAAGGATAAAAAAAAGTAAAGGAAAGAGGAACTTTAATCAGTTTCCAATACTGCTTCTGCTATTTTCTTCATCCTCTTGCCTCTTCATTTCCCCATTTTCACGAGGCTTTCTCTAACAGCTATCAAAAGACTAATTTGGCTTGATCATTTCAACAAAATATCCTGTCCATCCATTACAAAGGGTTCCTACCAGTCAAACAAGTTAATCAACACGGTTCTTAAAACATCAACACTGAAACTTAAGACTAAGTTTCAAAAATGCCGGCTATTTTCCATGCATTCAACAATCACTCATAGGAATATATATACCCATCAAAGCAAATGTTTTTTTTTTCATGATCATTAAATTCCAAACAAGGAATAAAATAAAAGATAAATTATGAACTTTTAAACGTAGAAAATGAAGAAATATTATTGACTTACAGAATTTATGGAGAGAAGAAAGGCAAAGAGAATTGTTCAAAGTATAGAGTTAAAAAAACAAGGCGCGGTGGAAAGTTGGTTCACTCAACTATTGGCAGAAAATTGAAAAAAAAATAAAAAAAAATAAAACAAGAACCGTTTCAAATATTAGCCAACCGAAAAACGATGTCGTACAGAAGTTGTCTTGTAACTTTTTTATTTTTGAATTAGAAACGTGTTGTTGGTTTATTTCAGATAATTTAGATTTAAATATATTTTGGATTATTTTTTTCATAAATGTGTAGTTGAGTTTTATTTTTTTCACAAATAATGTTTTTTTAAATAACCTTCACAAATAATGTTCAATACTATATTACTGTATGTTTTATTTATGAAATTAACATAAATTTTAATTTTAAAATTTAAATGTTAAATACTAAAACCTAACATTTCAACCCAAACATGTGATAAGATTTAAATACCTGACTTTATTTAAGAGATCTAATATTTTATCTAATCAAACCAACTAGTTATTAGTTGTATATATATGAAGTAAATTGAAATATTCACAATCATAAAATTCAATGTTAAAAGTTTACAGTAACGAATAATAAACAAAAAAATAAGGAGAAATTAATATTTTAAAGTGTGGTTGTCTATATATTTTTAATTAGTAATTAAGATGTTAGGGTAGACAAAATAGTGTATTATTCGTGTGTGTGTTTTTCATGTAAATGAATGTATAAAAGTTCCAATATAAATATAATAAATACAATATTAGTAGAATATTCAAAGCCGCGTTATGGTCCAAATACAACATTTTAACTTTTTAGGACAATCGGCATGGCCGCCATTCATCAGGGGGAGCTCATATTGCCCCAAAAGCAAGCATCAGATAAAGCTCGAAAAAGATAAATAATATTCACATTGAACAATTACCAAAATACATTTACAGAATAATAGTAGTGCAACAAAATTCAGACTAGACCACCTACTGGTTCTATGCACTTTTTCCTCCTTGTTTTCCCATGGTGACCACCAGAATAAAAAAAAAAACCCAAATCCATATATTACAACAAAAAACAGGATTTTGCTAAATCCCATAGCATTTAATTCACAACCAATGTCTGCTCCCCGGCTCGTCTCCCCTTCCAAGCAGTAAATATTAGTAATCCAATAGCAGCAAAAAAACACATCATCATGTTCAAATATATAAATATATACACACTACTAGACAGAAACTCGTCTATTCATTCTCACTTTTTCTCAAAAATACCCAAAACTCCTCCCTTGTTAATCTTGCTTCGGCTTCTGAATCAATGGACGGTGGTGGCATCTAGCTTTCCTTCTATTTACACTTTTGATTTAAATTTAAGTTTCTAAGCCATAGCAGGGATGCTCGAATTCTGCCGATCCCTGTTAAGGCAATCGAATCCTTCTACTCTAACTGTGGGCTGTTTAAGGCCAAACGTCATCCTAACACACCCTACTTTGTGTGCCAATGACGATGACGGAGATGGAACTTGCAATGATGCAATTCTTTCATCACCAAATCGAGCATCGTGCACAAGTGGGTTCGCAGCCCTACTTGGAGGTGAACCACAAAAAAACGGGGGTGATGATGCTACCTCTGGTGCAGATTGTTCTGTCTCCATATCCTGCTGCAAAACAAAGATTGTAAACCAATATTGCTCATACTCAAACATAAATATGCATCCAACACGTGTTTACCGAACAATATCAGACTCGATATTTAAAATCAAAACAAAAATAAATAAATTATTCATCTTTCAGAATCCAAAGTACCTTCTTGAGGATGATATCTAGAAGCTCTGCACCAGCTTTTAAATCATTTACCTCGGCTTGATGACTGCAACAAGAACACATAATTCAACTGAATCATAAACCCTAAAAATCAAACCAGAAAACCAAATAAAGAGAGTAGAAATAAAAGAAATTATACCTCATATGCAATCTCAAGGGCCTGACGGGGTTGTTGGCAAGAACCCTATTTCGTCTAGGCTTAGGGCAAACCACAGGGCCGCCATCAGAGATTGAGATCAGCCCTCTAATCTCCTCAAAAGCAGAAACGGCAGCGTTCCGTTGAAGATTGCAGGGATTCATCTTCGCTCAAAAGCTAAGAGCTTCGTAAAGAACGACTACTGAAATAAACAAAACAAAAGTCAACATCTAGATCTAACAAACTCAAGCTGAATTAGAAAATTAAAGTAGCGAAACTCAACTTTAGTTTTGATTTCGTCAATTATAACAACATCCAATAAAAAAACAAAAAGTAGAACCGAAGAAAACCACAGATCTAGATCCAGACCTTCAATAACACGGGTTTGTGAGGTCAATTGTAGCAAAATCCACGGATTTATACGATTAAAAAGAGAGTTCAAAGAACAAACGAAACTCTAGGGATTAATTAAGAGAAAATTAATTAGGAATGATATATCCAGTTGGTAGATTCAACTATTACAGCTAAAAACTTAACAGATCTGTTATGGAAACACTGAACTTTGAACAACACAGATTCGCTTTTCTAATGGAACAAAAATAGAAATAGAGAAAAGAAAGAGAGAGAGAGAGAGAGAAGAGAGAGAAAAAAAAGACATATCTCTACATGAACAAAATTGAAAATTTTAGAGGAGTTCATAAAATTGATTGTCCATGAAAGATGAATATTTGATCTTTTCTTTTTTCAGATTAGATTACCTGAAGGAGTAATCCCTCGGAAGAAGAAAAAGTAGAGACAGGGTGGGTGCCACGAAGTGGAAAAAGAAAACCTCTGAGGGTGGAGGAACTTAAATTCAGCGCAATTGTATCATTGTAATACGACACCGTTTTTTTAACTTATTTGAAGTGTCTAATTTTTTTTTTGAGATCTATTAAAAGTGACTAAATTATATCACAATGCATAACATTATGTGTAAATATACAAATCAATCATCGTATTTTTAAAACTTATAATCACACCAGTATATTCATTAATTATAACAATCAAGTCATCTTGTCGTTAAGTGTACGAGGGATGTTAATTTTTTTATAACTTTATAATCTGATCACTTAATTATGAGTAAGTTTATATCTTGATCACACAATTTTAAGTTGTGAGCACTTTTTTTTACAGGTTAACGTAAAATCAATTCCTCGTCAATTGAGTTGTTTTGTTAAAATATATATTTTCTTATTTTTTTATACTTCATAAATATATAAACAAATTAATCATGTAATGCAATTACAAGACTCAAATAAGTCAATATATATATTTAATATAGTAATTGCATCATAAGAAGAGAGCTTTCGTTTACCTTAAGGAAAAACGTATTACTCGTATTAACTCCTGGAACATAAAATTCCTATTGCAAGGTGGCAAAGAAATCTTTATCAAGTGGTGTTGTAGGCGATCGCTTTATTTGCAATGAATTGCTTCCTCCTTCCCAAAAACTTATGTATCGGAATGGAAAGGGTGTTGACCCGCTTTTGGTGACAAAAATCACCAAAGAAAAAAGGAAACTATTGGTGCTCATGGAAATTCCTTTTGTGAACTAAAGGATAGTGGAGGCTTGGAATTTAGAGGCTTTGTGAAGTTCAACATTGCCCTATTGGCTAAGCAAGGAGATTGTTGGAAATGGGTGTCCGATGGAGGGTTGGATCAGGCATTGTTATTTCTATCTAGAATGATTTTTGGTTACCGGAGTCTCCTCTGGTGAGGATAAGTAGCCCTAGGTCAGGTATAATGACATGGGTGTCTGATTTAATCAATTGATTCCTGGGCACTTTTCGGGGCTGGTATCTGATAAAATTTTATCCATCCCCCTTCTTTGGCGATTGATGATTGTATGGTGTGGAGTGGAGTGGTGAAAAAATCAGACTCTATGCTAGAAAAACAAAAAGTTATGGTCTTTTATTTGGGGATGAGGTGGCTTCCAAATATTCAGAAAGTTATGGGCGAGTGACTGTCAACGAAAGATCAAGCTCCAATGGTAGAAATTCATCCATAATCTAGCCCCAATTATGCAAAACCTATGCTATTGGATGATCTCCTCTATTTCGTTCTGTCTTAGGTGCCCCAAACATTCAAATCGATTGAGAATGTGATTCGAGATTGCTGGGCTAGATTTCAATTCCACTGGCCTGCGCATGGCTCAGTGTGGACAGTTAAAGAATGGCTAAGTTTAGTTTTTAAAAACTACCAGTGAGCAAGCAAGGAGATTGTTTGACAATAATCAGGGTTATCCGGTATGCTAGAAATTATCATGCGAGTAAACTTACATCAGTAGATGAGTTTGTCTCCTTCGTAAGATCCTACAGTAAATAGTATGAAATTGTCCACAGCAGAGTTCAGGCTTTTGTCCCATGGGTAAAAGCCAACCTCGATGCTAGCTTCATATATTCAAGAAACAAGGGGTGGTCAGGGGTGATAGTTCGAGACGATGAAGGTCATATTGTAGGGGCTTGCAGGCCTAGAATCGAAAGGGTTACCTCTGCTTTCGCTGTTGAAGCGATAGCTGCCATCCACGTGATCCAGTTGGTTCTGGATTTGGAATTAAAGCATGTCACTTTTGAGGGTGACTCGCGGTCGGTGGTGATGCAACTAGCCTCGACGAAAGCAGATTTGTCTGAAATCGGTGTTCTAATCATGGATGGTCGAAGATTGGCCGCTTCCCTACATGCATGTTCCTTCCATCATGTCCCACGATCGGCTAATCGAGATGCGCACACTTTGGCGACTATAGTCGTTTCTAACGATGATAATCAATTTTAGGTTGAGGAGGCTCCTACTCGTGTGTCTCTTCAGGCGGTGGAGGATCGACGGTGGCTGCACCCTCCTTAGTTGGCGGGTTATGGTCCCTGAGTTCTGAGAACAGGTTCCATTTAGTTTTGTTTTTCTACTGTCCTTGATGCTCGTTCGTCGATTATTGTTTATTCGCAAGGAAACGAAAGGCCGGCTGCTTCTCGGTGGTGATTTATCTTTGCTTTATTTTAGGACTAGTTTTTCGGCTATTTAGTTCATTTGTTAATGACTTGGAGTTCCAAGGGGTTTTGAGTGCCCCACTTGAACGTTTTTCTGGTTTTAATAAATTTTCCAGCCGACGTTTCATAGTAAAAAAAATATATCATTTGAGTCCTTTTTTTACCATCACAATAATGATCATGTATGACTCAATGGGTTTCAAATTCAGTCCATAGGAAATGCATCGATGAGAAGCCCAATAAACTGATTTCATTTATGTTTTAATAATGGTATAAAAATCGTTTTTAAATGTTTAGAAAAATACTATTGTAAAACAAATTTATTAACAAAAATAAGTATAATAAAAATGAAACGAAAGGAATTAATGTTGTGGAGAATAATTGTTTTAAAATTTATTTTACTCTGATTAGTGCAATCGTGGACATGCGAGGTCGACACCAGTTTCATGTCACGTCGACATCGTTACAGCAGGCGTAGCCGGTGCATCCTTGTAACATAGACTACAAGTCATGAACCTTATACCATCTTTTTCCATGACAGAAAAAAGGCAACATCAAACCACATATATTCCGGTGTTTGCACTCCACTTCAAAAGTTGCAATGGCCCATCCCATTTGGATATCTGTAATCTTCTCAATGGAGCCTACCAAAAGAAAAATGTTCAGGATCAGATAAAGAAATCTCTACTTGGAACTCCCATGTGTTTTCAATTTTTACTTTATTCAAAAAACTGAGCTACCCCTATACACACACACACAGAGAGATAAATATATATATATATATATCTGTTTATAATATATTTCATAATTGAGGTCCGTAATTTGCCTTCTAAACCAGTGGAGTTGAGACAACACCTGCAGGGTATTAGGACTTCTCTCAGCCTATGTCAGAAATGGATATAGGCATGGAAATGACAAAGCAGTCTTCAGAGCTGAGTTCAAATTTGTTGGATAATTTCAACATAGCTGCTGACTTCTCACTAGAAACCTTGTTGGCCCACCGATTACCCGATTTTCCAGCCGTGCTCACAGGCAGTCTTACTGCAACACCAACCGATCATACTTCGATGGCGGTCGAGAACCAACATGTTTTGTTCAAAAGCAAGAAAAGGAAAGCCGTGGAACAACAACTGAGCACCATGTCTCCAGTGGTTTCCACTAATGAACATGGAGGAAACACCAATACCAGGAAAAGAAATGTGTGTGATCCACTTGTTTTCGAGGTTTGAGCCTTTATATACATCTCTTTTTAACAAATTGTTGATGGGTTTTTTTTTCAGAGATTACAGAAAGCGAAGACCAAAGCGAAAAACGAGGAGAAAGTAATTCATGTAAGAGCAAAAAGGGGCCAAGCTACTGACAGTCATAGCTTAGCAGAAAGGGTAGGTTTATCTGTTCTTGTTCAAATAAACGATCCTATGAAGAAAACAATGAAAATATGACTTAAGTTGCTACTAACACTGCCTCACTTTCTTTTATCAGGTAAGAAGGGAGAAAATAAATGAAAAAATGAGGTACTTGCAGGACCTTGTTCCAGGATGCCACAAGGTACTTGAGTGAATCTCTTCTTTATTTTGAAATGAACATACATGATTTAGCACTTGTGTATGATTTCAACAGACGATGGGGATGGCTGTTATGCTGGATGAAATAATCAATTATGTTCATTCATTGCAAAACCAAGTAGAGGTAAATTGAATGCCCTGTAAAAACAAAACTTCATGTTTCTTAGCTCTCAAGTAAATACTACAAAAACCTTATGAACAAACTTTTCTTCTAATTTCAGTTTCTTTCTATGGAGCTCGCGGCAGCGGCTGCTTCTTGTGACCTGAACTCGGAAATCGAACACATCAAAAAGACACAGGTATACATCAAGCAACTTCATTTCCAACATAATCATGTAAAATGAAATAAAAAGCTAAGCTTATTGTGTGTGTCTAGTCAAAATGAGTGATTGTGGAAGCTAAATGATGCAGGGGACAAGTTCACATGTAGGACAAAAGATGGAGAAATGGGCAAAAGATGGATATGGAGAAGAGGATTGCTTCCATTTGACATGGCCACTTTGACTGCACTTTTGGCCCTTTATTTTTTGTTTCTTATAAAGCAAATCAATATGCTTCCTACCTCACTTTCCTGCAAATCAAATCTGTCTAGTTAGATATCAATTGTCCTAATGAAAATTATAACTATTTGCATTCATTTTTACTCATTCAACTATCTTAAAAGGTGAAAAATAAAAGATTTTACACTACATCAAGAGATCTACCTCATTTATATATTTATATGTATAATTGTTATTTTCAAAAAAAAATGTATAATTGTTATATTTTTCTGGATCTCCTCTGCGAAAGTCATCCTACGTAGGTCTTCCTCAGACCACATTCAGTTGTACCTCCGTAGTCACTCATTCACCATCAGTAATATCAAAGATTCCATGGTTTCATAGCCTCCGAAGATCCCAAGAGGCCATCAGAGTTTTATATCTTCCAACCAATTATAATCCTTTGACATGACTATTGTCAAGTTCACATGATCTCCCATAACCAAATCTGTCATATGACAAACAAATCTATTTAATCTGTTAACCTATAAATAGTAGTCATTACCCTAGGCTTGACACCAAAGGTCAGTGTACGAGTCACCTTCCAAGACTAAGGGGGTGCTCTTTTCTTTTTCCAAGCACTTCACTTTTCATCTTCTTGAATTCACCACTTTCTATCTTCTTCATAAAATTATTGGGTGAGAATCTCCACCTAAATAAAAAGAGGAGAACCGCTCATCATAATACCATTTTCCCATCAACAATAATCATACCCATAATCATTTCCAAATATATATGAGATATAAATACCGGACATACACTACGAGGCTTGATAGCTATCCAAAGGGAAATCAACTTTGCCAGTAGTGACTTGATAATTGCCAAACTTTCCATGTGTTTCCAAAATCAATCATAAAAAATAACACTCAAGTCAAATACATTTGGAACATTAACAATAGCTCATAAGTCGATTGTGTTGGAGCATCACTGGTTGGTTTAAAGCACTTGCTTTTCACAAAGCTTTACGCAATGTTAACATCATTTCTTTGGATAATAACCAAGACTTTGCTCTATCCAAACATCAAGCAACAAAGGGAAAGAAACAGTCTTAGGATTGACAAAAACTAATGGGTCCAAAAACATATACATTGATGAACAGAATCTCACAGATGTTGCCAATTCATGTGGTGAATGATTGAAATTATGGAATGCATAAACATATTGCGCTGGTGGGGGGGATTAAAAATAGAAAAATAAATACAGGTGCATTGCATTAAAAAATATGGGACAGGGAGAGGACAGTTTGAATGGGGCATATCATGTTCATAAGAAGATGGGAGCAGTATGGGTTTGTCAACACTGTTAATGAAAATTCTATTCAACCTCAAACCTTTTATCTGAGTGTCAAATAGTATGAACAACTGTCGAACACTTTTGCACCAGTGCAAATGAAGAGTTAACAGTTTGAACATTTACACAAACCTTTGTACGTATGGGTTGACCGTATGAACTTTTTTCCATCAAAAACTTTTCTGACATAAATGCTTCACTTTACGAGGAATCATCCCGTTTGCATTCAAAACTTAAAAGAAGCATTAATGAACCTCCGTATCGTCTTTTATTAAATACATGAAATGAAACAACAATGCATTATAATGTTGTTCATTAAACTCATAATCTAATGAAGCATCAATGTAGTGATTTACGTGTGAAATGTCTTCCAAATTAAAGACGTTACTCAAGATATAATAGACATTAATTGTTTTTATATTAGTTTTGAATAAAAAACGGATCTTAACCGTGCCTTTAATTATATGGTGAGTGGTCTTAGTGATAAGAGAGAATGTTGTCCTCATTAGAAGTCTTAGATTCGAGCACTGTAGGATGTATGTAGTTTAGCATGTCTCAAAGCAGTGGAGACGTCCTCTCCTTGGTTGGGTAAAGGTTAATATTGATGGCCATGGGGCCACCGCATGTGGTCGTGTCATATGTGATGATTGGGGAAGATAATTATTTGACATTTCATGAAGTTTAAAAAAGGAATCTATTGGGTGTCCCTTCCTGAGTTATTAGTAGTACATGATGCTTTAAAGTATACATGGAGTAAGAGATTTAGAAAGGTCGAAGTTGAAACATATTGTTGATGGGTATACTTTCATGAACCATTAGCGCTAGAAGGGAATACTATTACAGATGCAATAAGATTTCTGTTGATTCTATCATGGGAGGTACGGATTTATCATGTTCGATGTGAGCTGAACGATGTCGCAAGTTCATTTGTGACTTTAAGTCGGGATAGACCAATGCAGAAAATATTTTTAATTCCCCTGTTAAGAATGTTAAAAGTGTCCTTGATATTAAAACTTTGAATAACGAGTAGTAAATTAGAAGTTATAAGCTACATATATTAGAATTGAGTGTAATACAAACCACATTTAATGAAGAAAGGTTGCATTCTCTCATTTGATCCGTATAATTTATAATTACACTCAGAATTCTCTAAGCCTTATTCTTAAAAAAACATACACGTGAATTATAACGATAATTAATCTCAAAACAAGTATTATCTTCCATGTATGGCTATGAATCTATTTTTCTTTTAGCAACTACCCATTATAACTTAATGAATAAATCTTATGTTTCATTTAGGTCCAACAAAAATGTTGTTATTTTTTTCTTACTTATTACCTTCTCGGTTTTCCATAGTTTTACCTTGACTAATATGGATCGACATGTGACGTACATGTGGTTTTGATAATGAGTCTCAGCAAGGATTTTCTGTATACACAAGACCTCGAACTCGAGACATGCTTAAGCGAGATCAATCTGCTTACCACTTGAATAATCCGGTGGTAAAATTTTGTTATTCTCAACATAAATGAGTACCGCAACAACAACAACAACAAAAGAGAGAGAGAAAACAGAAGGAATGAACAAGAGTTTCTTTATAAATCCGACTGTGGTGGTTTCTTGCAAGCGAGAGGGAAACCGAGGCCAACAGGCAGCGATGGTATCTTGCGTGATTGGCAAATGTTTTTGTATTTGAATAATGATACATTATCAGAAACTACTTTTAAAAATAAATCAAAATAAATTCGTTTTCAGTTACGCATGATCATTAAATTTACTAACTGTATATAAAATGTCAATGCATTAAGTATAGATCCGAAATTTACTGGCTGCATTGGAACAATACGAGTTGAGCTTTTTCTTGAATGAGACTCCATAGATCGTTCATATGACGCTCTTCGGTCAGAGTTGCTCCGACAACGCATCGAATGGCATAAATTCCAGAGACCGTTCCTTGTGTCATGAAAGCTCGTCCACTATAATTTATGGCGTCCAGTAGTTTGCGGTTTAATTCGCTGCCGTCTAGCCCCTGCTCTGGCTTAAGCCTGAATAAAACCAATGCGATCCTCCTCGGAACCACGATCTCGAACCTGTCATCTTCTTTTATGAGTGCCTCGAATTGCTTAGCCAGGTTGACATCGGAACGAATGTGGTGCATTAGGTTTTCCACGCCAATCCGGCGGATTACAATCCAAAGCTTCAGTGCCCGAAACCGTCTGCTCAATGTGACTTGCCAATCTTTGTAGTCCACCACAACGTTGGATTTACTAGCGTTGTTTTCTAGATATTCCGGATTGGATGACAAAGAATCGATTAAGAAACGGGGTTCCTTGAGCCACAAGCAACAACAATCCATGTTGGTGAGAAACCATTTATGTGGATTCATGCTGAGAGACGATGCGAGTTCAACTCCGTCAAGGAAATGCCGGAATTCGGGGCAAATGCAAGCATTTCCTGCATGAGCTGCATCAATGTGAAGCCAAAGCTTGTATTCATTGGCAATTTTGCCCAAGTCTGCAATAGGATCAACAGCTCCGCAGGCAGTTGTCCCGACGGTTGCACATATGTACAATGGCACCAAGCCTGATCGGATATCATCTTTGATAGCTGAGCGAAGTACTTCGGGTGACATTGCAAATTCGGTGGCGAAGGATGTTTGAAGGAATCGGAAATTCGATGGGGGAATGCCGACTAATTTCGCAGCCTTTTGGAAAGTGAAATGAGTTTGATCTGATGCATAAACCACGAACTTGGTTATATTCGCCCAATTACTATCAAGTTCTTTCAAGGCCTTGTCTCGAGCAGCAGCCAAAGTGCAAACCACAGCCTCACAGGTAGTGCCATGAATGACACCGCCGCCTGTTCCGGAGAACAAGAACGAAGACGGCAATTTAAGCATTTTGCCCATCCAATCGACGACGACAGATTCGAGTTCTGTGGCAGCCGGAGACGAAATCCAGTTGAAACCAACCACATTAAAAGCAGAGCAAAGCATCTCTCCCAGGAATCCAGCAGTGCTAGAACTCGCTTGATAGTAGGCAAAGAAATTAGGACTTTGCCAATGAGTAAGGCCTGGTAAAATGTGTTGATTCACATCATTGAGTACATCCTCTAGTGAATCGGGGGTACACGGAGCCGAATCGGGTAACTTGGACGACAAGTATCCGGGATCGACAATGCTTTGAACGGGGTATTTCTCGATGTTTTTATAGTAGTCGGAAATGAAATCAACCACTGCTTTCGACTCATCTTGGAAGCTCAGTATGTCTAGGGGAAGAAAGCTTTTCTCTGAGGTTTTATTCATTTTCATGAGAACATGAAAGTTTCGGGTCTTTGCAGTTTCTAATATTCCGTAGGGTAATCCAGATCACATGTTATATAGACAACACAGGATGCATGGGGCGAGTTGGTTTGATTTGAGCCACTGAAAATCTATGTCAAATGTGAATGTGCTTCAATACGAGTCTAATATTAGAGTCTGTTTATTTTGTGTAAACCATTCCACGATCCGTATTTTTCGATGTTTGATTGGCATGAAATACCTTAACTACCATGATTCATTTTCAATATAAAATCATCCGTTTTTCACGTTAATTATATTTCCCTGTGACATTTTCCAAAGAATCGTCAAAATAGCCATCACCAACGTCGGCAACAATACCCAGGTGAGTTAGGCTGTGCAAGTTCATATTAAGCGGAACCCAAAGGCAGTTTAAGGTTGGTTATTTTTCATTTTATTGGCCTTATTATCACCTTTTTTTTCTCCTAGAAACATACTTTATAATTATATTTCAATGTAATAATTATTAATGTATTATGAGAAAAGAGACCACACCAGTGAACGCAGAACGAAACTCCAATGAACTAGATTCAATTACATGAATAGAACAAATGAGGATAGCGACAATTGTAGCCTCCGACAACAGTCAAAGCAACCAAATGAAAAACAAGTGGCATATGTTCATCAAATCTGAGACCGTTGAACTCAACTTATGAATCATCAGCAGTAGTGGTGAGGAAGAATCACAAGACAGCGATTTTAATCGCATATGAATAAATCTTAAAAGTCATTATTATTTTGATACAAAGTTGATTCTATTGAAAATATGTTCAAGAAATAATACTACTCTTGGAGTAAGGAGACAGTCCAAAACTTATTCGTTAAAATTTCTCATAATTTTTAATATTTTATAGATATTTTTAAAATTTTATTTTTTAAACTAATTTATCATTTTATAACTTCTGATATCTTTTATTTTTTAATAATATTTTTAAATTTTTAATATTTTTTTAAATTCTTATTTTTTACTTAAAAATTAAATAAGTATTCTAACTTTCAATTAAAATTAATTACACCTTTGACTTCAGCTAAAAAATCAATTAAGTTTTTCTACCACGTCATCATTCATATGTAGAGCGTTCGGTGAACTGTTCGTGAACCGTCCATATAACATTCATTTATGTTCGTTTGTTATGCTAAATAAATGAGTATGAACTCAATTTTTATGTTCATTTAATAAACGAACGAACACGAGTAGATGTGTGTTCGGTTCTTTTATATTCATGAGCGAGCTTGTTTATAGACTCATTCGTTTATGCTCATGAACAAGCTCGTTTATCGACTCGTTCATTTATGGTCATTAACAAGTTCGTTTAGAAGCTCATTTACTTTTTATTTTTTTTCATTTTAAATATTAGTGAATGTAGGGACTAAATTGGACATATGGTGAAATTTAGAGTTTAAACTATCAAGCTTAAGGAGTTCAAGCACTACTGGCGTAATTTTACCATTTTTTAACTTGCAAATGAACATATCCTCGAACTTATAAATGACCGTTAAACAAACATGTTCATGAACGCTAAACGAACAAGCTCGCAAACATATAAATGAGCATGTTCGCAAACGTTAAACGAACGACATAAATACATTTACAAATAAACAAACAAACACAAACAAAATCTTATTTATTCAAACTCAAATCATTTACGCTATAAGCACGACGCTAATCTTAGATTTCCATTTATCCTTAACTATTCTTTATCCTTCGTGTCAACCAAGGGCCACTACTTTCGTTTTGCACATTTGTTTCTTATTGACTGATTGATAATAAGATAGGCTCCAATCTTTTTTTATGAAAATTTGTTCTACTTCTATCAGTGTTAACATATATCTTTTCTATGTTTGGCCACTAGCCATGTGAGAAAACACCAAAAGAAGAAACCATAAGAATATGAAACTAAAGCAAAAGAAAAATCGGGTACATGCATAACTCGCTTTAGAATTTCAGATTCTATTTACTTGATTCGTATAATTTTTTTTAAAATTTAAATTTTGATGTTTATTTTTATCCAAATAAAACTATTTTGTATTTTTTATGATCTATGTGACAATTGCAGTTCTTATATTAGCTCTTGCTTTCGAGATTGTAATAGTTGTAGTGAATGGGGGGCTCGGGCTTATTTCTTATCCCAGCTCCACTTTTCTTTTCCAATAATCGGTGAAAAAAAGAAGGCCTTTTCAATAATTGCCATTTTTTATTTTTTATTTAGATAGAATAATCTCGTGAAAAATGGGTATGATGAAATAATTTCAAATTCTGTTTGATTTTATAAAAAATAAATATTGAAATTTAGTTTAAATTATTTTTATTTGATCAATTGAATCTTAGTATAATTATAGTTGTTTTTATATGTTGGAGGTCATGAATTTGAATGTGAAAGTGTTAATTTATAAATTTCATCTTTAGATTTTACGAAAAATAAAAAAAAATTATCCCTTCGTATGTCAAAATTTAATACTCATACTTTATGAAAAATAAAAAATTAGTCTAGTTAAATAATATCTTTAAACTTCAACTTAAAAGAAAAACCTAATTGAATACAAACTAAAAAAAAAAACTTATTCACATGGATTAAAAATTATAATATTAACGATAAAATAAAGAAATAAAATTGGGAAACAACCGCATCGCACTGTTGTTTTCAGTTTCTGTAAAGCACCGGACCGGAGATCCTTTGCAGCAGCTGCATTATTACCGTGAAATGGAGGGACCACACACCCTAAGAAATATTACTGCCAAAAACATTATCTTTCTTTTGTCAGCCATTATCCCCTTTCATTTTCTTAACAAAACAGTTTTATATTTATTTATGGAAGTATTGTTCTATGTTTCAATAAAAAAAATATTTTATTATCGACTGGTAAAATAATCATCTTATATTTATTTGGTTAGATATTAATCATTAAAAATATTTAGTATGATATAATCAGCTTTGGATACACCAAATTACAAAGATTTTTGAGATCTTCAAGTTTTGTTTTTGGTAATTGTAGTGAAGTTTGCTCATCCGGATCCATTGGACCTTTTATGTAGATATGATGGCTATTAGGCAATTCATTTTCTAAATTAACAATGAGATGTCTTGGTCAATGTTTCTCTTTTTCCTATTTTGTTTTGGGTCGTCATGTCAGTTAAATTACATGATTTGATGATCCAAGTTATTAATCAATCCAACAGTATACTTGCTTTTATGATAATCAGGAACGGATATAAATTTATGTTAGAAATAAATTTATAAAATTTTAAGAGATAACGAAATTATAAAATTTTAAGATATATTAAATATATTTTTAATTAAAAATATAAAGAAAATATAAAAATATATATATAAAAATTTAAATGGACTAGTATCCATTACACCAACGCGACTTGGCCTATAAAAAAGAGATACTGTTCCCTCATTTGGAACGTACTTAAATCGAGTAAAAATTACATATAGTATTCTCCTACACGTTATAAAATGATCTAGTAGCTCTTATGGTGTGCTTGCTAGAGTTGCTGGTTTGTTCTACTTTCGATGGTTAAAAGGCTAATTTTCTTATCAGAATTAAAATATTGTAATTCATATAAAATGTATGTATACCTATGTCAGAATAGCAGCATATTCTTCTTATTTTTTGAAGATTTAACTAACCAATAGGAGAGCAAGCTGAATTATTTGGTGCAAAATCTTCTGCCTCCACTCGATTCTTCGATTCTCAGTCAGCTTTGTTTTTCTGCATTTTGGGTGTTTATTTTCTTCCCGTTTTATTTTTTCACATCATTGTCTGGATGCGGTTCCCAATGTTTTAACTCAAATTTTCTTACTATTTCTGTTCGGACTTTCTGTTTTTTGCATGATTGATTTTACTTTGAAAAAACGCTACGAACAAAAATGGCATTAGAGCTTTTCTCGGACAACTCTGGTATGAGTCCCAGGATTTCATTTTCTCTCGATCTTTGTCATTTTGATCAAGTGCCTGTGGATCAACGCCCTCTCAGATCATCATCGAAACCTCCATCCTTGAATTCATGCATTGATTTCGATTTCTGCGTCGCCGAAAGCCTCGAACAACAACAACCATCGTCCGCCGATGAACTTTTCTCCGATGGCAAAATCCTTCCTACTGACATCAAGAAAAACAACGTCCCTTCCAAGCAAACTGATCACCAGTCTTCGCCTCCTCCGCCGCCGCCGCCTCACGATGGTGCTAATGTTGATTCCACGAAAGATAGCTCGAACGAAGATGATCAGAAGCAAAGTAGTTCGAAGTCTTCATTTTGGGGTTTCAAAAGGAGTCGAAGCTTCCCTTGTGGAAGTGGCTATGGCAGGAGCTTATGCCCTTTGCCACTTCTGTCGAAAAGCAATTCAACTGGCTCGACACCAAATATTAAACAACCTTCCAATAAGCATCTCAAGCCTCCATTGAAGAAGAGTACTGCTTCTTATAAGCCTTATGGTAATATTAATGGCAGTGTTCATGTTAACCCGGTTCTCAATGTTCATTCTTTGAATTTGTTCGGTTTGGGTTCAATCTTCTTCAATGGAAAAGCTAAGAATTGCCACTGCCAGAGGAAATGATTTGACATGTCAGTTTGTTGAAAATTATCATTCGTTCGAAAGAAAAAAGTGCATAGATATTGGTGTGAAGAAGACAAAAGAAGCCTAGGGAAATGACAGGTACGTGTATTCATGGTTGTCACATGTTGTCTATTAAATAATTTTCTTTGTTGACGACTGCTATCTTGGAATGTTTCTTGATTCTCGGTTTCAGAATTATTTTTATTAACCTAAAATAAATATAAAGTTATATTTATTTAAATACTTTCAATCATCTATTCGTTACTCCTATTTTTATATGTATAATGTTTGAGCGTGATATCTTAAAAAATAATAATAATTCTTTAATCATTAAAATTATTTAATTTCAGAATTTTATATATATCATTCGCTTGGTTTCTTAATATTCTTGTTTGGACCGAGAGATTGTGAAAAAAATATTAGTTAATGTAATTAACTAAATCCATCTTTGATCTCATTTTGATATTCATCATCTGCGGGATAATACAACTCATATGTTCTGTTTAAATTCTACATTTCATGCCGTGTTTTAATTTAATGTTTTAGCTTGAATATAATTATCTTATAATCTTAAAAAAGGAAAAAAATATAGATAAAATGGTATTAATTACATTAATCAAATACTTTTTCTAAATCATAAAAAATTTAATTAATTATCAAATATTAAAAATCAGACTATACAATAAACTAATTAAAAGCTTAAATCAAACAACTTGAAATAGTACAAACAAACACAAACACAACTGTCGATATGGGAAACAAACACTACCAACACTAATATAAAAAAGAATATAACAATAATGATAATTGATAATTGGTATCATCACAATTCAAACATGATTTATTTAGATTATTAAGGACACATGTCAATACGAGACATTCAATCTAATAGTTAAAATTAGAATTATATCAATAAAATAATCAAATAAACATTATCTAGGAGACAATGTTGATACCTGAGAAAAAAGAATGCTAAATGCGTTGCAAGAGCATATGGAACATGTTACAATAATAGATAATTTTTTTGTTATTTTTATTATAAAAAATAAGATTTATTAAATAAAATAATATTGAATTTAAATGTATAAAATAAAAAAAGGAAAAGAATAAGATAAGAGAAAATATAATAATAAAATAAATACAAATTAATAAATGATCCAAAATTACTAGATTCCCATATGCGATAAGCGTCGCGAGCTAGTCATGTACAAAGATTAACATAAAGTAATAGAATCTATATTTAGTGCTTAGAATTTTATGTACTTTAAGTGATTGAATACTGATATATAATTAATAATAAATTTTTATCTTTAAAATATTTAATATAAATTTTAAAATTAATCTCATATTTTATTCCGCTTATTGAGATGGTTTGATGATTGTTACATGTACATAAAGATTTAAGGGATATCTTGTTTCATAATTTATCAGTTGATAAACATATAAAAATTGATGTATAATTTAACAATATATGAGGTATTTATATTGGCAAATTAAATTATTGACTAATGTTTTTTTTCCTGAAATTACAACTTAAAATTAAATCAAGTTATATTTGGCGTTTTTATCAAAAAAATACTCTGATAGGAATTAATTACCTGTCTGACACCATTTCAGAAAATTTTACTGATTTAGCTTTCTTTGTAGAAGGGCACAGATCATCATCCGCGTCTTACCCTGATGTGGTGGCACGTAAACAAAGACGCGAATGATCATCCGCGCCTTATCTGAGCTGGCGCCACATAAGGGTAAGGTGCGGATCATAATACGCGCTTTTCTGGGTTCTGACACGCGCCTGTAAGGTGCGGATCATTCATTATTTGTTCCGATTTTTTCGGCCTTTAAACTTTCCCATCGCTTATAAATAACACTCCCTTCAACCATAAACATCACCACATCAATTTCTCCTATATTTGTTTCACAAATTCATTCGATCTTTTGTTGTAAAGTAATTTTTTAATATATTATATTTATTTTATATATGATTATTTGAAAAAAAATTATTGTACTAATTATTTTCTATTATTTTCTTCGGTTGTAAAATTGGAAAGTGGGATCATACGTCGAGACATTTTTTCTGATACGGTAACAATATAAAATTATATTATTTAAATTATTGTTAATATTTTTAAATTTTTTTATTAGGTTATATTTTAATTCATATAATATTTATTTAATTAGGCTTATTTCAGCTATTGTTTTTATATTAAGACTCTCAATCTTTCAAACTCTTACAATGACGCGTGTTTTAGCAATTGTTTACTATAATGGAGAAATTCGGGAATATGAAACTGGTGTCGTGTTCGTACCAAATTATTCTGTCAAAATATCCTTCAAGAGAAACATAATTCTTGAGGAGCTGATAACGAAGATTTCAATAAAGGTTCATGTTGGAAGTACTAGAAGATTGTCCTCGCTTCAGTATAGATTTCCAACATCAGTGTTTTCGTTAACTTATACAGCGTTCGAACTATAGAACGATGACGATGTTGCAATGATGGTTGATTCTCAAAATCATTATTTAGACCCCGATACGGAGATGTATGCGAAATTTATTGAAGTACATGATGTTCGTGGAATGTCAATATGGTCCCACTATGAGCTGACTCAACAAGTTAATCAAGTTGACAACCCAACTACAGTAATGTGTAATGATTTTAACGCCATAATGGGAAATCCACATCATGGTGTTATCCCATCAAGTTCAATGGGGAGACATTCATCATCAACTTCTTACAATATGTATCGAGGTGGGTCCACAAACAATCTGTATGGCAACATCATGTCCAATTCAAGGGGAAGATATTCATCTTCCAATTTCTTTGACTTGATTATGGAGATACCCTCGACGCAACAATCACCACATTACCCATTTGGCACGACGCTTCAAGCTCCAAGGGAAGGCATTCAACTACGAGCTTTTTCGACCTCAATGTCGAGATGGCTTCAAGTTCAAGGGGAATGAATGCAACTACCAACTTGTTCGACCTAAATGTCGACAGCGTGGAGGAACCCTTATCTCCACCAGAAGAACCTCTTCGTGAGCCAGGTGCGGATGATGTTGAGACTGGACTATTCGTTCACCTAGAATCACATACAGTTCAACATAGACTCCAATGATGATGATGTAGAGGAAGTTCCCACAAATACGGTACATACTGAACCTCCAGTACACATGTATGAAGCCGACTATGGTGCAATGTACGTGCCATAATTTGTTGATATGCCTATGCCGGTGATTATGGATTTAACTCATCAGTCAATGATGTTTAGTTATATAAAGGAATGGAGTTTTCAAGCAAAGAAGAAACAATGATGGCAATTAAGAATTGTAATATTTGTAATTATGTTCAGTCCAGAGTCAACCGCTCTAGCACCAAAAAGTATGTATGCCATTGTGTCCAACGTGATAACAGATGCAATTGAATGGTTCACGTATCGAAGAGGAAGATGAAAAACAATATATGGGAGCTAACGATATACAACGGTTCTCACACATATTGTGCTGGAGGGATCAACTAGGATCATCTGAACTTGGACTCAGAAATGATATGCCAAGCCATCATTCCCATGGTAAAAGCAATCTCTCATATAGTTATTGTTGTATTGATTTCAGCTATACAATCGCAGTATGTGTATACCATATCATACAGCAAAACATGGAAGGCAAAGTAAAATGCGATTAAAAAACCTCACGGCGAATGGGATGCATCTTACAATGAACTACCAAGTTGGTTTAGGGCGGTGCACATATGAATCCTGGGATAATTATGGATTTTGAAACTTTTAATGCATACCACAATGATCGAGTGCTTCGCAATCGATGCCAATTCTATTGACTTTTTTGGACTTACCCACAGTGCATTAATGATGTGAAATATTGCAAGCTCGTGGTCCAAATCGACGAGACATTATTGTATGGAAAATACAAGCAAATTTTACTATTGGCAGTTGTCCAAGATGATAATCATAACATACTTCCAGTTGCTTTTGCCTTTATTGAAGGAGAATATGCAAATTATGGGGCTTTTTCCTCCGAAACTTACGCTTACATGTTATCACGAGGGAAAAATCTATAATTTCATATCGTGGAGCTGGAATCAAAGCAACAATGGAGTATTTGGGTCCAATATGGCAACCACCCTATGTCCAACATCAGTAATGTATCCGACACATTGTTGCAAACAATCATGGAAGGTTCAAGAAGAATGATGAGCACTAATTACTTGTGCGCATGAGTATGTCAAAATGCTATTTTTTGTATATCATTTTTATTTTTATGGAAACAAAGTTATTAAGTTCTACATTTGATGCTCAGGTTACGAACTACTACGTCAAACATTTGAGTCAATGCTTCAAGAGTTACAAGGAAAGAACGAGGAATGATACAATTACATCAACCTTATCAATAAAGAAATGTGGAAAATGCATACGATGATGGATATCGAAATGGACACATGAGGACCAACTTGGTTGAGGCTATCAATTCGACTTTAAAGGGGGCACACCATTTACCAGTAACGACTTTGGTAAAAACGACATATTTTCGTTTGGGAGTGCTTTTTACCATGCTCGGGGGACAAACTCAAACTTGGATGCAAAACGATCATGTCTATCACCCTATATTAGTTACAGATCTACAAAAAAGAATTGTTGCATCAAATGGAATGTATGTAATAAGCTTCTCTAGAACCCATGAATTGTTTCGTGTCACAGAGTTCCCACAACCTCTTCAAGGGATTCAAGCTAACTCATTCAGAGTTAATCTATGAGACAGATGGTGCGATTATGGGTTTTTTCAAGCTCTGAAGTATCCATTCTCTCATGTCATAGCAGTTTGCTCGCATACCTGTCAAGACTATAACCGTTTTGTGGATCCCGTATACCTACTATCAGAAGTGTTTAAGTTATATGAATTTGAGTTACCCCATAAGTAATGAAAAATACCCTAATGAGGTTCAGAATTGGCTTCCGATTGTACCAGGTCCGTTCTTATTAAGGGAGCTCGGTCGTCC